CCTCGGGGCGGTTGCAGAGCAGGGAATACTGCTCTGGTCCCACGGATGCCTCTTAACATAGAGACTGCATGAAGGCCTTGTAAAGAGGGCTTAGGCAAAGATCTCTGAGAAGGGAGGTGACCTCTGCTCACAAGATCCGGGAGGGTCTTTGCAGATGGGAGCCGGCAAGGAGAAAAGCCTTGCAGGGCAGAGACCAAGGAACACCTCAGGCTCTGCATAGGTTCTCAGAATATGGAGTGATTTTAATTACTCTATGTCATCAATGCTCAGGAGATAAAAGCCCCTTCATGCACTGGGTATGGTCAGACCTGGTGGCTCCTAATCCGGTATACTTCTGATGCGGCTGTACCCTGATAACAATCAGTGATAAACTCAGAGCACTAGTTTAGCATGTCTTAGAAGGATCTCAAGTGCTCACCCCCACCCCATCTTACCTACCCCTTCACCCTCCACCTTCCACACCCATAAGATCAATGAGATCATGCACACAATAAAAGTGTTTGGAGCCTAGAGCTTGGGCGAACAGGTTCCCACGCTCACGTTGGTCCCCTGGACCCATGATGTAACTTCTACTCTTCTGTCTCTGTCATTATTTCCTTTTCTCAATCCCTCGTCACCGCCAGTACTAAGGGCACCCACTTACGGGGTGGCTGGTACCCAACAGCAACTGACTTTTTTTTTTTTTTTTTTTGGAGATGGAGTCTCCCCAGATGGTGAGAAATTAAGTAATCTTTCCCCTCCCAGATAAAGCTGTGGCCTAGTAAGGACTGGGAGCTCCCATCTCAGCCCAGCAGTTAATGAAGAGCCTCTTCTCCCACTGGCTTGCCAACAGAAGCCAAGGAAGAGTACCTGGCAGTAATGAGGCGGTGCTCAGGGACCTGTGGGACTATAATAAAAAGTCTAAGTGTCTTGTTATTAGTGTCCTCCAGAAAGGGAGGAGAAAGAGAGCAGGGCTGAAAAGTATTTGATAAAATAATGGCAAAAAAGCTTCTAAATTTGTTAAAAAACAAAACAAAAGCAAAAAAACTCAGCAATTCCCAAACTAAAAGCAATAAATACACAAATTCATGATGCTGATCCAACCTCAAAACATAATTTTTTAAATTTTGTTTTGTTTTGTTTTTGTTTTTGTTTCCCCTCAAGAAACAGGGTCTTGCTCTGTTGCCCAGGCTGGAGTGCAGTGGCACAATCCTAGCTCACCGCAGCTTCAAACGCCTGTGCTCAAGCAATCCTCCTGCCTCAATCTCCCAAGCAGCTGGAACTACAGTTATGTATCACAATGCCTGGGCAATTTTTATTTTAGTTTTTAGAGGTGGAGTATCTCTGTGATGCCCAGGCTGGTCTCAAATTCCTGGCCTCCAGCGATCTTCCCACCTCAACCTCCCAAGTAATCTGGGATTACAGGCATGAGCCTGCTCAAACATGTTAAACCCAAAGAAATTCACATTAAGACAAACTATAGCTGAACTTATAAAAACTAAAGACAAAGGACAGACAAACAACATCTTACCATGAGGGAAAACATTTCAAATGATAAAGGATTTTTCATTAAAAAGAAATGTGTCAGAAGAAACCAAACCTGCTGAAATCCTGGTCTCAGGCTTCTAGCCTCCAGAACTATGAGAAAATAAGTTTGCTGTTTAAGCCACCCAGTCAAATGGTATTTTATTATATATAGCAGCCCTATCAAACTAGCATAGAGGGCAAATTCCACAACCTAATAAAAAAATCTCTAAAAAACATACAGCTAACATTTAACTTAATGATGAAAGGTTTTCCCCTAAAATTGGGAACAAGGCAAGAAGATCTGCTGTCACCACTCTTATTCAACATAGTCTTGGAAGTTCTAGTCAGGGCAATAAGGCAAAAAGGTACTAAAAAGTACACATATCAGGAAGGAGGATATAAACCATTTCTATTTGCACCAAATCTTAAAAACAAATCTACAGGGTTGGGCACGGTGGCTCACACCTATAATCCCAGCACTTTGGGAAACTGAGGCGGGCAGATCACGAGGTCAGAAGTTCGAGACCATCCTGGCCAACATGGTGAAACCTCATTTCTACTAAAAATACGAAAACTAACCAGGCATGGTGCGGGCACCTGTAATGCCAGCTACTTGGGGGAGGCTAAGGCAGGAGAATCACTTGAACCCTGGAGGCAGAGGTTGCAGTGAGCTGAGATCGTGTCACTGCACTCCATTCCGGGTGACAGTGAGAGACCCCGTCTCAAATAAATAAATAAATAAATAAATAAATAAATAAATAAAACAAATCTACCAAAAATGCTCTCTTAGAACTGACTTCAACAAGGTGGCAAATAAAAGACAATCAGGGTGGGGTACGGTGGCTCATGCCTGTAATCCCAGCAATTTGGGAGGCCCAGGTGGGTGGATCACCTGAGGTCATCAGTTCAGGACCAGCCTGGCCAACATGGTGAAACCCTGTCTCTACTGAAAATACAAAAATTAGCCAAGTGTGGTGGTGGGTGCCTGTTGTCCCAGCTACTTGGGAGGCTGAAGCAGGAGAATTGCTTGAACCCGGGAGGTGGAGGTTGCAGTGAGCTGAGATTGTGCCACTGCACTCCAGGCTGGGTGACAGAGCAGGACTTCATCTCAAAGAGAAAAACAAAACAAAACAAAAAGATAATCAATTGTATATCTGTATAATAGCAATGAACATGTGGACAATAAATATAATATCACTTATAATTGCTTTAAAAAATTAAAAACTACAAATTAAAGATCTAAATAAATCAAGAGACATACTACGTTCATGGATTGAACGACTCAATATTGTAAAGATGTCAACTCTCTGCAAATTGATATGCATATTTAATATAATTCCTAAAATCTCAACAAGGTTTTAAATTTAGACAATATTATTCTAAACTTTATCTGGAAAGGCAAAGGAACTTGAAAAACTAGAGCAATTTTGAAAAAGAAGGATGAAGTGGGAGGAATCAGTCTGTATGATTTGAAGACTTATTATACGGCCACAGTAATCAAGACTTTGAGGTATTGGTGAAGGGGGAAACACCTCAATCAATAGAATATAACTGAGATCCCTAAAACAGACCCACACAAATATACCCAAATAATTTTTGTCAAAAGTGCAAAAGCAATTCAATGGAGAAAGGACAGTCTTTTAAACTAATGGGTCTTAGAACAGTTGGACATCCACATGTAAAAAACAGAACCTCACCCTATGCCTCACACCTTATACAAAATAAACTGAAAATAAACTACAGACTTAAATGTAAAATCAAAACTGTACAATCTTTTAGAAAAAAACGTAGGAATAAATCTTTGGGATCTATAGGTAGATATAGAGTTTTTAGACTTGACACCAAAAACACAATCCATAAAAGGAAAATTGATAAATTTGACCTCATTGAAACTAAAAATGCTTGCTCATTGAAAGAGATGATGAAAAGTTATAGATTTGGAGAAAATATTCACAAATCACATATTTAATAAAGAATTAGAATCTCACAACTCAACTGTAAAAACAATAGAAACTGTCATTATCTCTTATAAAAAAAGAGAAACCAGGTAAAGACATGAGCAAAAATTTTTACCAGGGAGGACACATATACATATGGCAAGGTATGTTCAACATCATTAAACATTAGGAAAACACAAATTAAAAAAACCTTTATATTAGTACACACCAATCGGAATAAAATAAAAAATAGTGACACCATCGAATTCTGGTGAGGATGCAGAGAAACTGGATCACACTTATATTGTTAGTAGGAACGTAAAAATGGTAGAGCTACTCTGGAAAACAATTCAGCGGTTTTGAGAAAAACTAAAGATAAATTACTACAAATGCTAGCAATTTCATTCTGGGCATTTATTCCAGAGAAGTGAAAACTTGTGTTCACATAAAAACCTGCATTACTTACAACTGTTCATAGCAGCTTTATTCATGATTGCCCAAAACTGAAACAATCCAGATGTTACTCAACAGGTGAATGGTTAAACTGTGGTACACCTATACCATGGAATACTACTCAGCAATAGAAAGGAATGAATTATTGACACATTCAACAACTTGGATTACGCCAGAGAATTATGCTGAGTTCAAAATGCCAATTTCTAGGTTATATATTATATTATTCCATTTGTATAACATTCTTGAAATGACAAATCAGAAATACAGAACAGATTAAATGATCACCAGGGGTTAAGGACAAGGAGTGAGGAGTGAGGTGGGGCAGGAGGAAAGTGGGTGTGGTTATAAATGGGCAACACAGTCATCCTTCTGATGATGGAAATGTTTGTAGTACTTACTGGTTGTGATATCGTACAATAGTTTTGTAAGATGTTACAGATGGAGGATGTTGGTAAAGGATACATGGGATCTATTTTTTTTTTTTTTTTAACAAATGCATGCATTTCTACAATTATCTAGAAACTAAAAGTTTAATTAAAAAAAACAAAAGAACAAACTCACAAATCGTACTACTTATTTATTGAACACCTGTTGTATGGCAAGGCCCTATTTAAGGTAATCTCATGAATGTTATTTATTTAATTTTCATGAACTCCTAAAGATTATGCCCATTTCCCAAATACTCTTTCATGAAATACTAATTTTTTATAAAATTAATTGCCCTCCCAGAGAGGTATTATGTAAAAGGAATTCCCCAGTCAAGCAGGTTTAAAAAAACCATTTTTTTTTTAACTGTAGGATTTTTAAGGTCTCTAATGTCTAATGAACTTTATAAATATTCAAAATGAGGCCATTACAGACAGCTTTCTTTAATTTTTCCACGTCTTTAATTTTGGAACCCTAGTTTTCACATGATGCTCATTAACAATTTGTCTGAAGACCCACTATTCCTTATAATATAACAATAAATGTTGGGTTATAGTTTTCTACCAACATCTCTACTGATGTGAGCTTTTATGTGTTATTTCAATTTAGTCTATAGATTTACTGTTATAGTCTGAATATACTTCAATCATAGTGCAGATGATCCAAACTACTTACCATGTAACGATATAAATAGATCGAAGTACTAATGTAAAGACCAACATTCCATACATGACCTAAATAGGAAAGGAAAATGTGGTTAATACAATCGTTATTCTTTGGCAAAGGAAGTCTGTTTTTCCTACCAAAATAGCCTTTCCAATTAAATGTAAATATCCTTCATTACATTTTAAAGAATAGAATTTTTAAAATGTGTTAAATCACTAAGTCATGCTAACTTCTGAGGAAAAGGGCCTGCTTAATTTTATTAAATAACCAATTAAATAACCAATATCAGAAGTCCTATATCAATTTTAACTCTGACTGGATCCATAAATTTTAAGTATCTGCTGAAACCTGAACAAATGCTGTAATTTTGCTTCATATTCTCAAGCTCCCCACTTCTCTTTAGTTTTGCTTTCAGCACAAATACAGTATTTGTGCTTCCCATCTTATAACAGCATAAACCTGAATTATTTTAACTCTTCTAAATCTGCATTCATATGCATCCTCCCCTGGCATTCTTTCTCATCTCTAGTCTCCAAAAAATAGGTGCCCACTTCTTGACTAAGGTTAATCTATTTTCCTGTGTTCTTTTTTCTATATGTTCCCACATCTTCCTAGCATTGGCTCTTCTTTCTCTTCTGTATTAAGCATTAGGTGAGTATTAGTACCTGGAAAATGGAACCTAGTGGGAAAATATTATTTAGCAAATACATATAAAGCCAGTAGTTGAGAAAGCACCATCCAGGTCAAGAAATAAATCCTTGTTAACACCCTAGAAGTGCTGCACGTGTGTCTTCCCAGTCCAACCTTCTCTCTTCCTTCTTAGAGGAAACCACTCTTCTGGTTTGTATAATAAACATTTTCTTGCTTTTATTTATATAATTACTAATTTAAAGTGTCATCTACATATGCATTCCTAAGTAATAATATTGTTTGCTTTTGAGTTAAAATAGAATTTTGATTAAATTTTATTTTATTATTTTTTTTGAGGCAGGGTCTTTTGTCGCCTAGGCTGGAATGCAGTGGCATGATCATATCTTATAGCAGCCTTGATCACCCAGGCTCAAGCCATCCTCTTGCCTCAGCCTCCAAAGTAGCTGGGACTACAGGTGTGTGCGACCACATCCTGGTTAATTTTTTTTCTTTTTAGTATAGACAGGTCTCACTGTGTTGCCCAGGCTGGTCTCAACCTTACGTGGATGAGAGTACAAAAGAAGCTGTGTATGTGAATAGCTCTGGGTCTTCTGATGAGATAAAGATGCTACATCTGCTATAACTCTCATCTCGTGTCCTATAAAGCTAGGGAAACACAGTATTAGATTAAAGCTTATTGGAGTCTTATTGCCAGCATAAATCCATAACCACAGCTATACTGCTAAAAATGGTGAACAAGAAAGGCATAATCCCTATACTCACAGCAATTACAGTAAGGAGAGAGATAAGTAACCAGACAATTATTGTATTATAATTCTATGGCAGGAACTGTACAGAGCACTTTGTAAACACATAGGAAGGCCACCTAATCCAGACTTACACAGTTTAGAAAGTCTTTCTGGAGGATATGGTATTTAAAATTTTATACCTGAAGCTCATGTAGCAGTTAGTTACTTTAAAAGAAAGTGGAAGAGAGTGGTTGGCATAGCTTATATTCTAGAGACAAGAAGGAAAAAAGATCCTTATAGTATATTGTTGGAATATAGAATAGGAAAAATGGAGTCAGAGACCAGAAGTCAAATCTGACCTTTCAAGTCATGTTAAGGAGCTGGACTTTATATATGAGTAACAAAGGCCAGGTGTGGTAGCTCACGCCTGTAATCCCAGCACTTCGGGAGGCCAAGGCCAGTTGGAGAACAGCCTGGCCAACATGGTGAAACCCCACCTCTACTAAAAATGCAAAAATGAGCCAGGTGTGGCGGCAAACGCTGTAATCCCAGCTACTTGGGAGGCTGGAGCACGAGAATCACTTGAACCCAGGAGGCGGAGGTTGCAGTGAGCCAGGATTGCACCACTGCACTCCAGCCTGCGGGACACAGCAAGACTCTGTCTCAAAAAAAAAAAAAAAAAAAAAAAAAAAAAGACTGGTGCAGTGGCTCACACCTGTAATCCCAGCACTTTGGGAGGCTGAGGCAGGCGTATCACCTGAGGTCAGGAGTTCGAGACCAGCTGGGGTGCCAACAGAGTGAAACCCCACCTTTACTAAAAAATACAAAAAATTAGCCAAGTGTGGTGGTAGGCACCTGTAATCCCAGCTACTCGGGAGGGTGAGGCAGGAGAATCACTTGAACCTGAGAGGTGGAGGTTGCAGTGAGCTGAGATTGCACCATTGCACTGCAGCCTGGGCAACAAGAAAAAAAAGAAAAGAAAAGAATGGAAAGCCAATGAAGGTTTCACCAATAGATAACATGGTCAGACTCACGTATTAGAAAGATGTCCCTGTCCTGCTGAGTGGAGAATGAGAGGGAGGTGAGACTGACAGGAAATAAACCAATGATAACGTGTTGCAGTAATCTAAGTGAGAGATGGGGACCTGAACTTGGGTAGTATCAGGGGAGATGCAGAGAAGTGGCTAGATTAGAGAGAGATTTAGGGTTCAGACTAATCATTAATTCGAGTAAGAGAGAGAGGGGAAAGACAAGGATGGTGGCCTGGTTTATGGCATGGACAGTTAGGTACATGGCAAAATTAATTATTGGATTAGAGAATATATGAAAAGAAAGGGAGAAAAATGGTGAGTTCACTTCTGCAGATCAGAGTTTGATGCGCCAGTGAGATATCTAAGTAGAGATCTCTAGCAGAAGTTGGATACCTAGGTCTATAGTTTAAAAGAAAAATCAGAGCTGAAGAAATAGAACTGTCGGCATATAGGAATCAATGGGAAGGAATTTCTCAGGAAATATGTTGAACATATGAAATGATGGATTGGGAAAGAATCTATGCCTTGGCAATATCATGGGACTTTTTCAAACTAACTTTCTCTTTCTCCAGAGCACCCCTACCCCATCCTTCTGATGCTCCCCACTGCTAGTGGCCTACCCAGTATTCATTCTCTCCTTCCAACTATAGAGAAACTGATTTTATTTGGCTGGAAGCATTTTCAGCTATATAAGCTTGATTCTCAACATATAGAGGTTTTCTTTTTTTTTTCAATAAAAAAGGTGATAAAAGATATACTTCTCTGCTCCTTATAATTTTCATCTAATATGTATATTTTTATAGTGAAATTTTATCTTTCTATATTTAATAGTTTTTTTAAGTCTCCAAACTCTAAAGGCCGTAAAAATATTATTAGTGTTTTCTCTGCTAAAGCAACTAATAAGTTAAATCAGGATAACAACACAGAGAAAGATGGCCTGTAAATTTAGACACAGTTGTTAGGTAAGGCCTCTCTGCTAAGTTAACATTTAAGCAGAGACCTGAATGAAGTGAGGATATAAATCATGTAGATAGCTGGGGTACTGGTATCCTAGGCAGTGGAACATGAGTGCAAAAGTCCTAAAGTGGAAACATGCTTGTTGTGTTTGAAATATAAAGCAAGACTCAGTGTGACTGGGGAGAATGAGGGAGAGGCAAGTGGAAGGATATCCACCTACCCTCACATGGTTTTTCTTTTTTATAGCAGTTATCACCTTCTAACATGTTATGTATACTATATAATATAAATTTACTTGTTCTATCTGTAGTGTATTGTTTCATATCATCCTATAGCACTGGTTTTAAAAAAATCCTTTCTCAATGGACTACAGCAATAGAAATCAAACTTGACTCTTTCCTTGGCGTTTTACTTTCTTCCTCCAGCCCTTAGGTAGCCTTTCAATGAATCTTTCTAAAATGAGAATCTTGATTTGGTCATACTGCAGCTTAAAACTCTTTAATGGCTCTTGATAGCTTATAATTTTCAGCATAGTATAAAGGGTTCCTCATGACCTAACCCCTCACCAGTAATCCATACCCATCTCCTATATCTAGGGCCAGCCATATCAAATATTTATAGTATACCCATGCTTTTAAAACTTTTCTACAAAAGTACTCCTAAATAGCAAAGAAAGGATGACTTATTCCCGACGGACAAAGATGGGAGAGGGACACTGAACACACAAACTTCTTTGAAGTTTCCAATTTCATCCTATAAATTCATGTGGTCATTGTAGTCAATTCTGTAACATATTTATATTTGTTTTAACTTTAAAAAGTTTAATCCCAGCTGGGCATGACGGCACGTGCCTGTAATTCCATCACTTTGGGATGTCAAAGCGGGCAGATCACTTGAGGTCAGAAGTTTGAGACCAGCCTGGCCAACATGGCAAACCCTGTCTCTCCTGAAAATACAAAAATTAGGCCAGGTGCAGTGGCTCACGCCTGTAATCCGAGCACTTTGGAAGGCTGAAGTGGGCGGATCACTTGAAGTCAGGTGTTCAAGACCAGCCTGGCCAACACAGTGATACCCCATCTCTACTAAAAATACAAAAATTAGTTAGCGTGTTGGTGCACGCCTGTATTCCCAGCTACTTGAGAGGCTGAGGCACAAGAATAACTTGAACCTGGGAGGCAGAGGTTGCAGTGAGCTCAGATCACACCACTGCACTCCAGCCTGGGTGACAAAGTGAGACCGTCTCAAAAAAACAAAAAAAAAAGAAGAAGAAAAAGTTTAATCCCTACAATATAGTTGAATAAAATAAATGTTCTAGGAAAACAGGCATGTTCAGATGCAGTCAATGATTTTGTAAACACCTCAGCATGCTACCACAAATCCCTGGGTGAACTTGTACTCCTGTTTCATGTGCAAGTTACCAATTCACACTTCTTTACCTTAACACAGGGGTCCCCAACCCCCAAACTGGTACAGGTCTGCAGCCTGCTAGGAACTGGGCTGCACAGCAGGAGATAAGCTGCAGGCAGGTGAGCATTATTACCTCTTACTAAATCAGCAGTGGCATTAGATTCTCATAGGAGCACAAACCGTATTGTGAACTACACATACAAGGGATCTATGTTATATGCTTCTTATGCCTGATGACATGAGGTGGAACAGTTTCATCCCCAAACCATCCCCTGGCTGTTCCTTGAAAAACTGTCTTCCATGAAATGGGTCTCTGGTGCCAAAAAGGTTGGTGACTGCTGCCTTAACACACGGTTCTCTATGGATGGAGTAGCCTTTCTCCACTTCTCTACCTGTGACATCTTGTTCATCTTCAGGACTCTCCTGAAGCCTCTCTCTGAGTCATCTAAGCAGACAGAGAAAACCCTTGTCTATATTACCACTGCTTTTATATATTTATTGTAAGACTTATATACTGCAATTATTGATTAGACAATGATCTTCTTAAGATTAGTGGTCATATCTTATTTGCCTACGTATATTAATGTTAGTTAACATTATATTGAGTATTTATTATGTGACAAGGGTTTTATATGCATTATTTTATTCAATCCTCAAACTTAGGAGGTTATTATAGAGACACAGTACCGGTTCCTTGAAGGCAGGGCTTATTATTTTATTCACTAGTTTATGTATCTCTTGTACCTAGTACAGCACCTGGCACATTGAAGGCACTTAAAAAGGGTTTGTTGAGGCTGGACATGGTGGCTCACACCTGTAATCCCACCTGGGCCTCACTGATACAGTACAGAGGCTTCACTGATACAGAGGCTGAGGCAAGCAGATTACTTGAGCTGAGGAGTTTGAGAACTGCTGGGCAACATGGCAAAAACCGTCTCTACAAAAGTTGCAAAAGAACCTGTTTTAGTGGTATGTGCCTGTAATCCCAGCTACTTGGGAGGCTGAGGCGGGAAGATTGCTTGAGCCAAGGAGGTCAAGGCTGTAGTGAGCTGTGATCGAGCCACTGCAGCATTCATTACCTGAATGACAGCGCAAGGCCCTATTAAAAAAAAAAAAAAAAAAAAAAAGATGGGGAGATTGTTGAACAATGAGGAAACCAAAGTCCAAAGAGGTTAACTAACTTGTCTAGGTGTAAAGCTAGTAAGTGGAGGAGACTAGATTTTAAATCCAGGTCTGCTTGACTGTATGTAGATCATAGTCTTTGCTTTGCTGCCTCTCTGTCTCCAAATTCCAGCTCAGAATTTGGTACAGAGAAGATAGACAGAAGACATCTGTTGAATGAATGAATGTACTTTACCTTTAGATTACTTATTTGCTTCACCCTAGCATTCTCTTATTTCTTCATTTCTATATCCTGATTTTTAATCTCTAGGCCTAGGACACAAGCCACAGTGGGCATGGGTAGACCTAACTTTCATCCTTCTTCTCTTATCAGTAAATATTACTGCTATATACAGAGAAGAAAATATTTATTACTGGAAAAACACATGGATATTGCTCTAGGGGTAGTTACATTAAGAGTTGTTTTTTATTACATAGTGTCGAACAGTTCTAAAACACAAAATGAAAAATAGATGGTCATAAAACTTGTAAAAATTAACCCAGAATTTCCAAATTTTATATTTTTGTGGTCATGATTTTTCTTAGTAAAGGTAAACAAGAAGCTTATGAAAAGTATTTATACAAATTAACTTCTTTTAGTATTATTTATCATTATTTTAAGACATAGTCTCACTATATTGCCTGGGCTGGAGTACAGTAACACAATCATAGTTCACTACAGCCTCAAACTCTTGGGCTCAAGGGATCCTCCCGCCTCAGCTTTCTGAATAGTTAGGAATACAGGCATGTTCCGTCATGCCCCGTCATGCCCAATTAATTTCTTCTTCTTCTTTTTTTTTTTTTTTTTTTGCTATGTTGCCCTCATTAGTCTTGAACTCCTGGCTTTAAACATTCTTCCCACCTCAGCCTCCCAAGGCACTATTATAGGCATAAGCCACTGTGCCTGGCCAACTTTGTTTTTTATACTGTTAATAAAACTTTCCAAATAAAAGAGCAATTACATACTGGCATCATTTCAAGTTACAATAAACAAGAAAGTGATGTCTTTTCTTTTTTTGAGACAGAGTCTCATTCTGTCGCCAAGGCTGGAGTACAGTGGTGCAATCCCAGCTCACTGCAACCTCCACCTCCTGGGTTCAAGCGATTCTCCTGCCTCAGCCTCCCGAGTAGCTGGGATTACAGGCATATGCCACCACACCCAGCTAATTCTGTATTTTTAGTAAAGATGGGGTTTCACCATGTTGGCCAGGCTCCTGCCCTCAAGTGATCTGCCTGCCTTGGCCTCCCAAAGTGCTGGGATTACATCATTTCTTTTCTATAGCATTTACTTTAGTTCATCTACCTGCAGCTGACCTGTAGAAAGGCAAGGCATAATAATGTGGTTATAGAATACATTTCAATAGCCAGATTCCAGTTAGATGATTATTGTATAGCTTGAATTGTAAAAGTTATAAGAACATTAGTAAATGTTTATATAAGCACAAAATACTTTAAAACTCTGGCACTTCTGCATAGTGTGCTTATTTATTCATTTTTGTTTGCTAGTTTGTTAAGAATGGTGAAAAGGAGTCAGACAAATTTAGGTTGTAATCCTGGCTCTCCCCCTTAATAACTGTGTCACCCTAGGGCAAATTACTTAATATTTCTGAGTTCATTTTCCTTGAAATGTATATAATAATTCCCAATTAGTAGGACTATTGGTGAGATTAGAAGTCTGTGTAGTAATGAGCATAGTACCAGGCACATGGCAGCACTCAAAGACCCGTTTCTTTGTTTCACTCTGGTTTCATAAAGGCATGCACTTAAATCACTATTTACTACAATAAAGTTTCCTATGTCTGCGTCCTTCAATGTAAATCACCTCCCATGTCAAAAAATGCATTAAAATATATTAGGGGGAAAATATTCAAGGAATTTTCAGTCTATCTTTTCTAGATGTCATAAAAAGGCTTACGTGTATGTGCATAATGCTTCCTGTTCTTTCTGCTTATAATAGCAATGTTGCATCTGTTGCATTACTGAATACCAACAGCCAGCTGGACCTGTGCATTGGCTATCCCAGGTATATTCCTGTTACCTACACTTGGGTCCTGTAGGCATTTGACTTTGTAACCTCTCTTTTAAACACTGAACTTCCTTAGAATGTCTACCATTTCATTTTAAAACATTTTATCTGCATATCATTTCTTAGACAAGGAAATCACAAAGCAGGCATTTATTATTAAACAATCTAATGTGTAATAATTTACAAAAAATTACCTGATGGAATATCGGCTCTTTTACCTTAAGGTAAACCTGCAAAATATTAGAAAAAACACATGTGAATGAAGTACATTATGAAGGGGGAAAAACCTATTCCAACTACTCTGTAAATCCCAAACCTCTCCTGCTTCCCCCATCCTACTTAGATTTGAATCTAGCCACGTAAAAGCAATCAGATCAAGTGGCATGCCACAGTGGGGCTAATATCTATAGGTAGACCTTAGTGCTAGCCCTGCTATGGTCAGTAGAGTGTTTTAGATCTGTTGTGGACTACTCCAGACTCTGCATCAGTATCAAGGAGGGATAAGGATACAAGGATACTCATGAGGAGTGAAGAGGTTATGCTGGCAATCCCTATAGCAGATCTGTTCTACAACAGAGAGAACACCGGACTGAGATATAGGAGTAAATTTCAAACTCTGCCACTTACTTGCTACAAGCCTTGGGCAAGTTATTTAACTAAAAGATTCATTTATTCTCATCTGGATAATGAATAATAATAGTGGTGAGGAATGATAAGCTAAAATACCTGAAAGTATCTAGCACACAGTAGGCTCTCAGTAAGTGAAGACATTTAAAACAAATTTATTGTGCTTTCTTATGCTTCTGGAAATCTCTAACTAAACTTTCTAGATGTATTCACAGTTACACAGACCCTAGTTGTAGGTTCCAATGTCATGTGGATGATTAGGCTCAATGCCTACTCAAGATTTAACATGCATGTACTGCCCTGCAGGGACACAATTTTTAAATGATATGGTACAGGGGAATCAAAATTCAAGTCAACCCTGCTATGACTCTCATCACTTGCAAGACAAAGTTTACATTTCTTAGCCTAACATTCAAATCCTTCCATGACTCCTGCCTTTCTGTTTGGTCTCACTACTGTTTTCTTGTCTCCTCATCCAAGACGCCAGAAAGTACTGTGCTTCCTCAGATGTGCTAGTTTCATGCTTCCATATCTTTAAACATGCTGCTCTCTACTTTGTTCAGAAATCCTCCTCTACTCATTACTCATCTTTTAGGATTCAACTAAAACTATACCTCCTTCTTGAAGCCTTTTCTGATCCTTTCTCTACATAGCAGAAGCCATTCACCCTCCTTTCTATCATTACTCTTCATGTATAAACTTTGTGGCATTTAATAGTTTGTTTCTCTCCCTACAAGACTATAATATCTTTGATAGTAAGTACTGGATTTAGATATTTCTACATCCTCATTTAATGTGGCAATTTCATAAAATTTTATTATTTGGCTATAAAATTTCTTACTTCTGGAGGAAGTTTCTACCATCAGTACAAAATAAACAAAAACCCAGATTATTTCCTTTAAGCACTATGAGCTTTAAAAGTATGATGTGCATGAGACATTATATATCTGTAACTCTAAACCCAGTAAGGGAGAATGCTTTTAATCTCTGAAATTTCTTGTTTCAAAATTTCCATTCATATAGGTAATGCTATCAGATTCCCATTGTTACCAATAAAAGAAATGCAAAAGGACATGCCTCTTAAAGACATTTTTTTAAGGCAAACAATTATGAAGTCCTTAGTATGTGTTAGGTATTAATTTTCACAACTATCATAAAATATATACTATTATTTTCTTCATTTAACAGATGAAGGAAACTAAGGCTGAGAGAGATTAAGTAATTTGCAAGGTCTCAAAGTTTCTAAGTAACCTGGATCCAAACTTAGATCTGATTTCAAAGTCTGTCTCTGCCACTAATTCTCTATATAAAGTTGATTGGCCAGGCAAGTCACTGAATCTCTGGACTTGATTCTCGTCTTTCATATTATAACAAGACTTCATTTCACCTCTGAAATTCTAAAATTCTTTAATGATTAGCCAGTATGTAGTTGATAAGGTTTGACTGTGTGCCAACCCAAAATCTCATCTTGAATTGTAATCTGAATTGTAATCCCCACGTGTTGCGGGAGGGACTTTGTGGGAGGTGAATATATCATGGGGGTGGTTCCCCCATGCTGTTCTCATCATGGTGAATGAGTTCTCATGAGATCTGATGGTTTTATAAGGAGCTTCTTCCTCCTTCACTCTACACTTCTCTCTCCTGCCACTATGTGAAGGACAAGGTTGCCTCACCTTCCACGATGACTGTAAGTTTCCTGAGGCCTCTCCAGCTATGCGGAACCGAGTCAATTAAACTTCCTTCTTCCTTCCTTTATAAATTACCCAGTCTTTTTGTTTGTTTGTTAGTTCGTTTTTGTTTTGTTTTGAGATGGAGTCTCCTTCTTTTACCCAGGCTGGAGTGCAGTGGTATGACCTCGGCTCACTGCAATCTCTGCCTCCTGGTTTCAAGCAATTCTCCTGCCTCAGCCTCCTGAGTAGCTGGGACTACAGGCATGTGCCACCACACCCAGCTAATTTTTGTTTTTGTTTTTTTTTTTTTTTCAGTAGAGACAGGGTTTCACCATGTTGGTCAGGCTGGTCTTGAACTCCTGACCTCACAATCCTCCCGCCTCAGTCTCCCAAAGTGCTAGGATTACAGGCGTGAGCCACTGTGCCTGGCCTTGGATATTTCTTTACAGCAGCATGAGAATGGACTAATATAGTAGTTTAGGCTAAAGTAATAAGGAAACAAGTAAATAGTGTATATGTGCCCTGTCAACCTCCTATTCAACATCTCAAATAACTGAAATCTAGCTTCTGCCTCCACCAATTTACTACTGACAGCATCCTCATTAAGGTTACCTGGTCTTCTAACTGAAAATCTCTATTAGCATTCAATCTTCATTGTACTCATCCTTTCAGAGGCAACTGTTCTTCCATTTTTTCACTTCTAGAAATCTTTGTACTCCATGACATCAGGTTTTCCTAGCTTTCTTACATACCTGATTACTTGTTCTTAGTCTCTTTTGCTAGCTCCATTTCTTCCACCTTGTCCTCAAATGTGAGCATTTCATTAGGTTGTACTTTTAGTCTTTGTTTGTTTTAAGACAGGGTCTCGCTCTGTCACCCAGGCCAGAGTACAGTGGCACAATCATGGCTCACTGAAGCCTTGACCTCCTGAGCTCAAGTGATCCTCCCACCTCAGCTTCCTGAGTAGCTGGGACTATAGGTACATGCCACTACATCTGGCTAATTTTTTAAAAAGTTTTTTGTAGAGACGAGGTCTCACTATGTTGCCCAGCTGGTCTTGAACTCCTGGGCTCAAGCAATCCTCCCATGTAGGCCTCCCAAAGTGCTAGGATTACAGGTGTGAGCTACTGTGTCTGACCCTTTAAGTCATCTTAATGGTCCATGCTCCTTTTTCAGGTCATCTATTCTCACATTTTTAGTACTATCTATACTCTGACAGTTCCCAAATCTCCATCTTTAGTTCAGCTTAACTGTTAGGCCTCAGATGTCATTAATGTCAGGCTCCTCAATCTTAACACATTTCACATTGAATTTACCTTCACCCCTACCCCAGGTGCAAACATACTTACTATCTGTCCTGCAGAAGACGTTCATCCTCCAAGTTTCCTGTTTTCATTAAGGACATGCTATCTATCCTGACAACCAGGTCAGGAGTCATTCTAGACAACTCCTTTTTACTCTACTTTCACCCCATCTACTATAAAGTGGGTCACATGTCCTGCAGTTTGTTATTTATGACAGTTTCTTTTCAACCCCACAGCTATATTACTTTCACCTGAGTCTCATATCTTGCTAAAGCAAATACAAGAGTCCCTGGGTCTAGCTTCATACTCCTCTAATCCAGCCTCCATAACCAGAGCAATCTTTCTAAAACACATATCTGAATATGTTTTTTCTTTAAACCAGTTCATGGCTCCACACTACTTTTTCTTTCTTTTTTTTTTTTTTTTTTTTTTTTTTTTTGAGACAGAGTCTTGCTCTGCCGCCCAAGCTGGAGTGCAGTGGCAGAATCTCAGCTCACTGCAGCCTCTGTCTCTTGGGTTCAAGCAATTCTCCCACCTCAGCTTCCTGAGTAGCTGGGATTACAGGGGCATGCCACCACACCCAGCTAATTTTTCCATTTTTAGTAGAGACAGGTTTCACCATGTTGGCCAGCCTGGTCACAAACTCCTGACCTCACGTGATCCATCTGCCTTGGCCTCCCAAAGTGCTGGGATTACAGGAGGGAGCCACCGTGCCTAGCAGCTCCACACTACTTTGAGGATAAAAATTTGCTTAAACAAGTCATACAAGCATATTATAATCTGATATTTGTCTAATTCTATAGACTCATTCACTGCTCTTCCATTACCCTATGTTCCAGCCATATTAAATCTGGCCCAATTCTACCAGTGGTGATGACTTAATGAGACAGTAAAGGTACAGTACTTAGTTACAATATCTGGCATATAGTAAGTGATTAAAATGGTAGTTTACTATGTTGTTCCAAAGTTCTCTACTTATGAACAAACAATAGTGCTATCTACAAATGTTTCACCACACTCTTGCCCAGGGGCCTGATGAACTCCTAATCATCAGTTAAATTCTAGTTCAAGTGCCTCCTCTCTGAAGCTTTCCTTGACACATGCATGCGACCTTGACTGAACCACCTTTATCTCATCATTGTATGAGTAGTTTTTATCTCTATTATTGTAATTAGTATCTTTTGATGCAATTTTTTGTGTACATGCTTAAATTCTCTAATAGAATGAGCTCCTCACAGATAAGCAACTGCTTTTTAATCATCTCTGTATTTCTAGTGCCTGACATGGTAGGTTTTCAATATATGCTTGTTGAAATAAATATTTTCACAATATAAAATGCAATTTCCTTGAGGGAAAAAAGCATGAATGTAGGATTAGAAGTGACTAGCTGTCTCAACTTATTAGGGAAAAGTTAACCATTAAAATAGTCACATTAGGACCAATGGAGCTGAGCCAATCTCTCATTTTTAACAAATAGATGTGTCCATCTATGAGAAAAGTTAATTTTCTCCTATTGCTACTAAATATTTGCTTTTTTGCTTTCTCTCTTTAAAAACTAAACAGATTTTTAAAAGTTATTTCAATGACAGTGAGAAATAGCATTTGAACAGGGAACAAGGCAGCAGTATTTGTCAGTACAATATTCTAGTTTTGTATAGAAAGATTTCAGTTTGATATCATGAAGCAAATACTGAAAGTAATATATGCCAAACTCCATAAATGGCAAATTTACATGCTTAATAATCTGTTAGAAACAAAATATGACTTACTGTGGTTACTATTAAACTGAATAGAACTAAGGTAAAAAGCAGATGGTAGTTTACTGAGTTCTTGATCTTGAAACATTCAAACCTTGAAAAAAAGAGAGAAAGAAACTTTTTAAAGAATATATAAGTAGGAACATAAATAGAATGCTGCTTTACCACTTGCCTGTATCTCTTGATGATCGGGTGATACCAATCATTTCTTTCCACTCATATTCTTTCTTTCCACTCAGATTCTTAGAAAACCTGTACTGCCTATTATCCTTTAAGAAGCTGGAAGGACTAGGAGTAGACACATGATGTAAACTGGGACAGTGAAAGACTCTCACCTGAAAGCCTGGAGTTTGGGAGCTAAGACTGAATCAATTCAGTATAGAGAGTCAGCTGGGTACAGTGGCCCATGCCTGTAATCCTAGAACTTTGGGAGGCCAATGCAAAAGGATCACTTGAGCGCAAGAGTTCAAGACCAGCCTGGGCAACAAAGTGAGACCCTGTGTCTACAAAACATAAAATAATTAGTGGGCATTGTGAAGCATGCTTCTAGTCCCAGCTACTTGGGAGGCTGAGGTGGGAGGAGAGTTTGAGCCTGGGAGATAGAGGCTCCTGCCTGGGTGACAGAGCAAGACCCAGTTTAAAAAAAACACAACACTATAGCGAGTCAGTCATATGGACTCAAAGTCTTTGAGGCTGATGTTGGAGACAGCCAAATTGAATGAACAAGTAGGTGAATAAGCAGAAGTAATTTGCAGGGAGAGAAAAACATAGCAGATACAAAGATGTGAAGCCACGTGGAGAGGAAGGAATGGCAAAAAGAGGAGGAAAGAACCTGCCCTTCCAGTTCTAGTAAGGTGGGGCTGTACTTCCTGCTATTGGGTTCCATATAATTTCCTCATATCCTTACAGTAAGTAAATAATCTCTCCTAATTCAAGCTAGCTTGAATAGGTTTCTATATCTTGGAACTAATGATTCCCAAGAAACATTATTGTAGAAAATACCAATCTATTATAATTGTCTCTTTCCTTATCAGTCTCCCCAACTAGCCTGTGAATTCCCTGTGTGCAGGAATAAATCTTATTTTTTTCATATATCTAGCACAAAGATAGTGCTTGATACATAGGAGGTATGTGGTAAATAAGGAAATATGAACAAACAGTTGGCCGTCAGTGAGTACCCAATCCAACGTTTGAGTACTATGGTATAGGCAGGAAGAATGTTCTCTCAATTTACTAATTGGCTATGGGAATTGGACCAACTTTTTTTTTTTTGAGGTGGAGTTTCACTCTTGTTACCCAGGCTGGAGTGCAATGGCGCGATCTCGGCTCACCACAACCTCCGCCTCCTGGGTTCAGGCAATTCTCCTGCCTCAGCCTCCTGAGTAGCTGGGATTACAGGCATGCGCCACCATGCCCAGCTAATTTTTTTTTTTTTTGTATTTTTAGTAGAGACGGGGTTTCACCATGTTGACCAGGATGGTCTCGATCTCTTGACCTTGTGATCCACCCGCCTCGGCCTCCCAAAGTGTTGGGATTACAGGCTTGAGCCACCGTGCCCGGCCCTGGACCAACTCTTATTTTCTTATTTGTAAGGAAAGGTTGTTAGACAGGCATTTTCTTTTCTTTTCTTTTTTTTTTTTTAGACAGGCATTTTCTAAGATCTCTTTTACTTTTAAATTTTGTGACTTGGACAATGATAAAAATATTAAGGTGAAATATTAAGTTTTCAATTTTAAACTCTATTATTCCAAATTCTTAAGCAAGTTTATCTGTTAAGAAACCAAAGGTCTTTAGGAGGCCTGGCTTGTATTTATTACCATGGTTATTTCACTTTATTACATATAGTCACTTTCTTATCTGTCCCCTTTCTCAGACAATGAGTTCCTTGACTCTGTATCTACAGAGACTAGGATCATGCCTAAAATAAAGAAGGTTTTCCAGTACGTGTTTCACAAACGAACAAGCATAAGCACACAGAAGGCAAGACAGATTTAAAAATCATTAGATGGCTTCGCATATTAGATATGTTCAAAGAATATCCTAAGGAATCAACAGAAAAATGAATAAGTTAGCAAGGTCATGGGATAAGAGGTCAATACACAAAAATCACTTGTATTTCTAAATGCTGGCTACAAACAACTGGAAAATACACCTTTTAAAAAGCAATACTATGGTAGAGTGTGGTGGCTCATGCCTGTAATTCCAGCACTTTGGGAGGCCCAGGTGGGCAGATTGCTTGAGGTCAGGAGTTTGAGACCAGCCTGGGCAACATGGCGAAATCCTATTTCTAAAAAAGTTCAGAAATTAGCTGGGCATGGTGGAGTGCACCTGTAGTCCCAGCTATTTAGGAGGCTGAGGTAGGAGGATAAGCTTGAGCTTGGGATGAGGAGGTTGTAGTGAGCCAAGATGGTGCCAATGCACTCCACCCTGGGTGAGAGCTAGACCCCGTGTCAAAGGAAAAAAAAGCAATACTATTGAAAATAGCATCCTAATCATGAAAAACATAGGGTTAAATTTAACAAAGATCTATTAACTAAAACATCACTGAGAAAAATTAAAGAAAACTAAATAAATGGAGAAATATACCACATTCATGGTTTAGAAGACGTAGTATTTTACAGTATTAACTGTCCTCAAACTGATCTATAGAGTCAATGAAATTACAATCAACCTTCTAGCAGGCTATTTTGTAGAAATTGACAAGCTGTCTCTAAAATTTATGTGAAAATGCAAAGGACCTAAAATTTCCAAATCTATATTGCAAAAGAACAAAATTGGAGGCCTTACTCTAACTGACTTCCAGATTTGCAATAAAGCTACAGTAACTAGACAGTATGAGGATACATGTAGTGATCAATAAAATAAAACAGAAAAAAGTATCAAGAAAATTTAATGTGGAAATAATAACATTCTCAAAAGATGGTTCTGGAACAACCAGATACTAGTAAGGAAAACATGATCTTTGACAAAATTAACTCAAAATGGATCATGGACCTAAATGTAAAATAAACAAACAAACAAAATATCTTTGATCCTGGGAAGGCAAAGATCTCTTAGCACACAAAAACACTATTCATAAACATTTTAAAAATAAATTGACTTTCATAACAATGTAAACTTCCGTTCTTCAAAAGACAATAAATGAAAAGACAAGTCACAGACTGGAAAAACATTTAAAATACAAACTTCTGACAGGACTTGAACCCAAAATGCATAAAGAATTTTTACAATTCAATACGAGAAAAAGCTACTTTATAAAAATGGGAAAAAGGTTTGGATAGTTAACACATACAAATGGACAATTAGCATATAAAAAGATGCACATCATCATTAGTCACTAAGACAATACAAACGAAATCACTACAGAGATAGTATATTATACTCACTAGAATGACTAAAATAGAAAAGACTGATAATACCAAGTCTTCGCCAGGATATGGAGCAAATGGAACTTTCATATATTGCCAGTTGTACCATAATAAGGTACAACTAAATTGAAAAACAGTGTGGCAGTTTCCTATAAAGTAAAACATATACTTACCATACAACACAGAAATTCCACTTCTAGGTATTTACCCAAGAGAAATGAAGACATAAATCCATATAAAGACTTGTTAACAGATGCACACAGTCCTTTTATTCATAGTAGCCCCAAACTGGCAACAACCTTAATGTTCAATATTGGTCAACAGTGTAATCACATAATGGAATACTGCTAATGATATATGTAACAACATAGGTGAATATATTCATCAAAAATAACTGGCAGATTAGTGCCCTCAAAAAATATTATACTGAATAAAAGAACCTGGTTACAAAGTGCACATATTGTATAATTTTTTTATATAAAATTCCAGAGCAGACAAACTAATCTATATTTATAGAAAGCAGATTGGTGGTGGCCTGGAGCTCAGGGTAGGAGTCAGTATTAACTGTAATGTGTCAGAAAAGAATGTTCTAAAGTGACAGAAATGTTCTGTTTCTCTTTTTTGACATAAAGGTAAATGGGGACACAGGAGTATACATTTGTCAAAACTCATCAAACCACACACTTAAACTGGGTGCATTTTATTACCTGTAAACTATGTGTCAATACAATGGATTAAAAATTAGTTCAACCTTTCATTTCCTTCTAAGTGTCACTTAAAGTGTACTATAGCAGGTTCTCTCTGAATGGGGGAATACCAGCATAAACAGATACTGCAGAAGATTGCTGAAAAAAGATTAGAATCCAGAGACAGTCTGAGAAACAAACGCTTTGCATGCTCTTTCTGTATATTCCTTTTTATACTCTGAGGTGGTAGCAACGATGAAACTTATGTTTTATTCTGTTTTATTCACTATGACAGTCAGGACACCATGCCCCGTTTTCATAGAATGGCAAGCTCTATCCTTTTCTACTCCACTCAACTTTGTATGTCTCAGGTGTAGTATTAATCATATCACATGAAAGCTGCTTGTTTCTGTTCTGTTTCCTTTACCAAACTATAAATTTCTTGAGGCAAAAGGACTACTTCTTACTTCATTTCCCAATCCCAGTGCCCATTCACAGTGCACGATACATGAATAACTTACAGTAAGTTTGTTTTATAAACAAATAAATCATTTATTTTAATCTTCATGGGAAATTTATAAGTACTATAACCTCCACTTTTACAAGTGAAGGAACAAAGATTAAGTGACTCACTTAATTAAGCTCATTCAGCTAATAAATATCAGAGCTGAAAATTGAACTATAGCATCAGTATCCTTATCTTCTAAGTAATATCTGCTGTTCCCTAGCACTAAAACCCCCTTTTATTAGACAGAGTTTTGTTCTATCCCCCAGGCTAGAGGACAGTGGCAGCACAATCAGCTCATTGCAACCTCGACCTCCAGGGCTCAGGCAATCCTCCTGCCTTAGCCTCCTGTATAGCTGGGGCTACAGGTGTGCACCACCATGCAAGCTAATTTTTAAATTTTTTTTTTAGAGACAGGGTTTCACTATATTGCCTAGGCTCGTCTTGAACTCCTGGGCTCAAGCAATCCTCCTGCCTTGGCCTTCCAAAGTGTTAGTATTACAGATGTGAGCAACTGTGCCTGGCTCCTAGCACT